GGGCGCCTCGCCTGAACTAGTATAAATTATTGTGCCTTGTATGCTACCCCTTTGATTCTCTACTCAGTGACACCAAAATCACTCACCAGTGGTACGAAACACCAAAATGCCCTCTACCCATTTAGCGTGGGTTTCCCTCTTCTGTCATTTTTAGTTTTGTGAAGCTAACTATTGGAGAAAGGCTAATATACGACTCCCTATTCATTTTATTCACCTAGCATAATTATTGGTTTACCAAGTAATTTTTAAGAAGCTTATGGAGATGCTTTAAGGTTTGACTTCGTGGTAGAATTCCTCCAAAATTATATGGAACAAGTCATTCCTTAGGAATTTTGTAGGAGGAATTCAATACTTTGTTCTAAAGGGCTTCATAAGAAAGTTTCCTATAGGATTCCAATCCTCAGAAATTCTTCCATTCTCCTTTATTTCAAAGGGGACTACAGAAATCAATCTTATGTAGCATTATCGTGTTTACATGCCGTTTAAACACAACACAGTGACCAATCATATTAGTTTAATTGGTCATTTATCCCGTTCAATTGGTTGTGCAGCCCGTTTAAGTGGTTTATGGTCTCAATTATGGAAAGCATGTCTATAATATAATGGGATAATCAAATTTATTATAGTTACCAAACATGAAGACTATTAGATAAAATGGTGTGCATATTAATAAGCTATTCAAAGAAGAATATTTGGTGAAGTACAATGATAAAAAGATGATATTCGAATTGAAGAAATGGATTTCAAATGTGGATATATTTTTATACAAAGCAGGGTTTAACTTGAGATTGATAAGATAAAGTGGATGTTTAAGCATGGTGTAAGGATCATGTGCTATATACATGAACATGTTTGGTTTTGGTGATTTAGATGACAAAAGAATCACTAGGACTAACCTATGTGTTAAGGTTTGTTCACATATTTTCTAAGGTCCTAGGGATGCAAGAAATCAAAAATAAAGGAAGACATTAAAGTTGGGACAAAGAGAGGGTTGAATTGGACTTGTCTCATGACATTATAGTTGTCAAAGTATAGTGATATCAGTTTCAAGGTATAGAGCACTTCATAAGCTTTCCTACAAGTCCAAAATCATCAAAATTAATTTGGAGTCCGAAGTTAGAAGATATGTCCAAACTACCAAAGCATCAACAAGTTGCCAACTTAGTGGTGTTCACCAGATCGTCTCATGGGACTTTTATTGATCCGGTGCAGAATTTTTTTATAATGTTCTAGAGAATTTCACAAGATCTCAAAACAAGTACAAGATCATCAAAAAAAAGTCTTTGGATCTAGGGGATATGGCCAAATTACCAAGAAGTCTATGTGCTGAACACATGACAATCTAATGGATAATCAGGCGCATTCTCTGATTGTCTGGTGCATTATTTAGGAGGGGAAACTAGACGAATCCTAGACACATGGCAGCCGTAGAAGGAATCTTGAGAGGTAGTGTTGTGGTTCAAGGGTGAGGTGACTAGGCAGGCCGGCTTTGGCCTAAGAAATCCGGTTTTGAGCCTAGAAATGTTGTTTCTATAGATTTTGCACTAAAGCACATGGTTTATGTCATGGAAGGCTAGTTCTCTTCTGTTTTTTCACCCAGGTCTCTATTGAGAGATGTCATGGCACCTACCGATCTAGGGAGGTCACTTCCTCCCTATAGGTGGCGCCAAATGAGAAAAGAGAGTAGGAATATTCCTTGGAATCATGGAGGAGGTTCTCCATTCTCCCAAGAAACCTTCCACCATAAATAGATACACTCACCCTCACCTGTGACACACTCACTACACACACTTGTATCATGGTTCCATACTACTCTAGTAATGTCCCTTTGGATGGTTTCTCCCATCTAATTGTAGTTTAGAAAAGAATAGGGAGCAGGGGCGAAGGCACGTTGTGCCTTGTGGGTGCAGATGCACCACCCTAAAAAATTTCACCTTATAGCACCTAAGATTTGGCCTTATATGCACCACCCATAGCCCAATAAGCTGCACAACCCACACAGCCTAGCCAGCCAATCAAAGAAGCATAGGAAGGCCGATGAGGCCAGAGGCCAGAGGAACGAGGACAGCTAAGCTGCAGGCTGCCTAGTCACAGTCGCACGTCCAGTCGACTGGTCTGCCGATTAGCTTGGTCCTTTTAGTAGAACCTTTGCTAGGCCTTCCTAACCCCTATCTCATCTCTCTCCGTGGTTAGTGGAACAACGTTCTACATTAAGTAACCTTATGTAAACTTGATCCTTGATTCTTCAGATTATCCAGGGAAACCTTAGGAAACTCCTCTTTACCCACAAAAACATTTGTTTCTTCTTCCATCTTTATCCTCGGATGAACTTGATCCTTGATCAGTAAACTTCGTTTCTCTATGGAAATCAATACCTTGAAATACTTCTAGGTGAAAGCTACATTAGTATCCGTGACCTTGCAAATCTTTCTGTGTATATTAACAATGCCAACACTTTCTACCTAGGAAAGCAGCTTTCTAGTGGTTGGGTACACTATATAAGACATAAGTTCCATTAATTGCCCTATGTAGTCCTACAAGAATTATCTTGGTTGAGTCATAGCCCTTATGATGTTAAAGCATATTGGTAAGGACTTATTAATTCTTGCAAACCTCGAAGTATGGATTCCACTTATGGACATAGAGTGGAGACCATTCAAAGGTTAGCCATCCTTCCCACCTCCCTAGATGCCATTGGAGCATAGGTAATCTAAGGTCTATCGAGGACGAACTGGCTCCTATGTAACATGAGCCAATGTAGTAGCAGCAACAAGCATAGTGCCTCAGACAATCTGGTGATGTCGATGCCTTTTAGGATCTAGGTCTAGAATAACCAAGGATGTGGAATTTATATGGGTACACAACTACACATCATAAAGAACTACAAAATACGACTACAAACCTAAAGATTTGCCACACAAAGCGATGTGCAGCAAAGTGGACCTAGCAGTACTGCTTAGTAAACTCAAGAAATAACAAAGTATCGACCTTTTTATGCAACCTCAATTATAATAGTGTAAAAGTTAGTTATTTTCCTATCTCAGCCAAGGGGCTAAATCATCAGCCAATGTGAAAGCTCAGAGATTAATCAATGTGATGTCACATCACATGTTAGAATAGCAACACATAACCATAACAAGTTTGAACCAAAAACCTAGATGTATCCATAGTGAAGAACTATCTCACACATCATCGAAACAAGAGATTAGAGAGTTAAGCTATCCACAGCATCACATACATGGGGAAGGCGAAGGATTGGATGTAGAAGAAATGAAATTGCAATCAAAAGCCACCACAATAGCATCGAAGTTGAGAGGAGATCTCAACAACACTGCAATAGGGAACGAAGGAGAGGAGAGAGAGGGATAAGAGCAAGCTCCTTCCATTGGTCCTTGTTGGAGCCCCTCACAAAGGATGCCCTCGCAAGGGCAAGCTCCTAGCTAGGAAACTTCGTGGGTAGTCTGGGCCTTTCCCACGTGCAAGTGGGTGTCCCACGACCTCTCTCAAACCAGTCCCCACCGTCTTCACTATGGAGAGCTTTTGGCCAAAGGCCAAGGGCCTCTTATCCCCATACAACGTTGGTGACCACACAACAAGCTCGGTTGGTGTGATCTCTCAAGATTACAAGCTTCGTGTGTAGAAGCTTGGTGCACACAGGCACTAATAGGAAGGAGATATGCAAATCTCTAGCAGTGACAGGTTTACCAGGCAAGGCTACATTACGATGGCTTCGAGAACACCATAGCCTCCAATGAGCTGCCTTTCATTCTCGTCGCGAGCACGCGATTGACTGTGGGAGAAGAGGCGGTGGGATCTCTAGATCCACTTGCGGGGAAGACGAGGAGGACCGCGTGTGGAAACCCTAGCCAATAGCATTGCCTCCGAGCAGTGATGGATCTAGGATTTTGTTAAAGGGTATGCCATACCAAAATTTCACATGTATTTCGGTAAACTCTATTTATCAACTCGGTAAATAGTTATAAAAATTTGCTACTCAATTCGGCATATAAGCAAGAAAAAATATGATAAGTCTTCAATTTATAGATTAGTTCCTCTATTTTTTATAAGGCGCACACGTATATCAAGAATCGAACTTTAATATCTTTAACCAATAACAAATTTGAATTATTATAATGTAAATTGGAAAATTCTGATACTGTTAGATTTGTAATTAAATGTACTATTCAATTATCATAAGTTCATAAATATCAATAATATAATATAAAATAAAATAATGGTTACAACATAATTTAGGAGATCGTGTCATGCGAAACTACGCCGTTGATGTAGGAGTACAAAAGCTGAAAAAATGCATGAAGTACAATACGAATATAACTCGCACTCACGTGATATTGATATTAATCAATCTCGCTACAATATATACAAATATAACACCGCCGCAATTATAGTATGTACTCCACGAGTCCTTTCAATAGGGAGTATTTGTTTGTGGGCTGACCCTGCATGCGATGTGTCTCTTCTATCGAGTCGTAGGTGACCGTGAGGCAGGCAGGTGAATCTACTCGTGCTCGTGACAGCCCGTTCCAAGCGCGCGAGGTGCAGTACGTATGCCAGGCATGGCTCGATCGCAGGGTATGCTGAAATGAATAAGGAGATGGTAACTCTATCAGTGGCATCACTTACAGAGTGGGTGTTGGCTCTTGCACGATGAATGCAATGGCCGGGCCATGACCTGTAGTGCGGACGTAAGTGCACCCTTGCATAGCTAGACATATACCAGGTTCACCTAATAGCGGGACGCATGCTAGGTTCCTTTGAGAAAAGTGCTATGCTGCATAAGGCTTTTTGAAGGAAAGGATGTTCATAACAGAGCGGCACACAGGGTATCCATGGATCCCTTATACCACAGAAGATCCTCATCGCATACCCTGCATTCCTAGTCTCCTCTCGCATCCGGGCATCCCAGATCGATCTGAACTCTGAACCCCCGACTTAACTCGTGACCTCCGCCTCTCCGTCCGGCCGGCCGGCGGGCGACCATGGCTCGTCCCCCACCCCAAACCCTACTTCTCCTCTTCCTCCTCCTCGGCTCGCTCGCCCCCGCTGTCACCGCGGTGGCGTTCTCGGGCCTCGACGCCTTCCTCGCGTCGGCAGCCGCGCGCGACCCGTCCGCCGGCAACGACACCTTCGCCGCCCTCCCGGCCGCCCTCCGGCGCGCGCTCTCCGCCCGGACCTCCCTCCTCCCTTCCTTCCTTCTCAACCTCTCTGCCACCGTCCCCGTCCACGTCCGCCTCGCGGGCTCCTCCTTCCCGGCCTCCTCCGGGCGGTCCCTCCCTTCTCTCGTCAACGCCGCCGTCTCCTCAGCCCACTTCCTCTCCAGCCGCCGCCCACACCGTCTCGCGGTCTCCCACACCCTCCACCTTGACGTCACCGGCCCCGTCGCGGCGTCCAAGCTCGCCTCTAGCGCTGGCGCCGCCGTCCGCGCGCATCTCGACAAGTCCCCCGCGCCGTTCCACAATAACGCGCTCTCCGGCGTTCCCTACTCGCTTGTCGACGATCTCGTCGCCGAGGACTACCGCGCGCTCGCCGGCTCCGGCCCAGCTGAGGCCGTCTACATCTACTTGCTCGACCTTGGCAAGCAGCCGCGCCAGTATGCCTACACCGCGGCCTCCTCCGGCACTGACGCCTCCTCGCCTGGGTACTCCCGCTGCCTCGGCCCCGTCTGGGCTGGTAAGGATCGGTACATTTGGATCGACCTCGGTGCTGGTCCGGTGAACTACGGTCCGGCGCTCTCTGGCGATGGCGTGCTCCCCCGTGGTGAGTTCCACCCTCTTGCCACCCTTCACGGCAGGCCCAAGTCGGAGAAAGCTCTCCTCGCTGATCTTGCATCGCTGGTTCTCAGTGCTTACAAGTCTTTGTTAGTGCCTTCGCTCAGAATTCCAGTGCATTATGAGAACTCGTTGCTTATTCGGTTCATTCACATCCATGGGGACCGGAAGGAAGAAGATGTGCTTGATTTCCGCGTGATTGAACAGTCAATTCGTGATGGGGATCTACCTTATGGTGGGCAGAGCTTGAAGTTTGATATGCATACGGTCAAGTACTCTGAATGCCCAATTTGCTCATTCGCAATTGCCCGGTCAACAAACTCGTTTACATCGAGGTTCCTGTTTGAGAACTACACATTGATAGTGAATGAATACTTGGACTCCAAGAGGTTGAGGCAGGTGCTGTCAGACTCGGCGGATGAGATACATCGTCTGGCTGGGGTCCACGAAAATTATGAACATGACAAGGTGGTGCCGGTTTTTGTTTTCGATTTGGATTATGATAAACTTTTGCCACTGGATAGGTACCACCAGGCAGTGGCATTTGGGGATATGGTGGTTGCTGTGAGGACGAGGAGCTCACAAACAGTAAGTGACTACACCTGTAATGGTCGACATGTGCTTACAATGACTAGAAATCTTGAGCGCCCAATCATCGGCTCAGTTCTGCAGAGCATGTGGGGGGTTTCACCCACGCATCTGTCATGGAGCCCTGAGCATAACGCCACGGTTGTTGATTACACTTGGAGCACTGGACATACACCATTTGGTCCTTTTTCAGAGACCAAATCACTGTCTTTTGTGCAGAAAGATGCAGCTCGTAGGAATGTTCTTCTCACAACCCTGAACTACACAATCACCAGCACAATAGATATTTTGGAGTCAATGGCGGCACATGGCGGGGAGAAAATACTTGTTAGAAAGAAAAGGCATGTTGAATTCATTCAGAGGTGGAATCTGCTCACATATAAACTGGAGAAGGTGGTCTCAGCCATGTCACGCTTGGACTATGACAAAGCAATGTACTTTTTGAGGTCTTCAGACCATGATCTGTATGAAATTCACTCATTGGTGTATCAGGCATCACAGGAGCTGGAGGCTTCACTGGTTTGCTTCAAAGATCCACCATTCCCATGGGTCTCTGTTTCCATGTCTGGAGTGTTTGTTTTTGGTTTCTTTTATGTGTACTCCAAAAGAGACAAGTTGTTTAGGAGCAAAAGGAAACAGTTTTGAGTTTGGGCAGCATTTTAGTTCATGGATACTGTCTGAATGTTTGAGCCTGGTCATACCATAGTTAGACAGCTCTAAGGATGTTGCAACCCTGCATATTACATGGATCTGTATGTGTACACGGGCTGCATCTTGTTTCAACCAGGTGAATTTACATGTATGAGATATACTGGATTCTTTTGAAGGAAGTAATACTTCCACTTGTCTTGTAAGTTCCATGTGCTTGATTTATCCTTGATATATACTGTTGACCTAGATATTTTAGAATTTATTTTGTACTGTGGGTTGTCCTATTTCCTTTGTTTTCTCTGAATGGATAACCTTGCAGATGTTGTGCTCATGTCTGGTTTTGGAATGCCAATTAATAGTAATGTACTAATGTTAGATGCTATAGAATGTCTTCTAAGGTCCTTTTGTCATTCTTTGTAATTGAAATATTTTAAATGACAGACCAATTTGCTAATCATATGTTGTTTTAAGCTACACAAGAGGATTATGTCTAAGACAAATGTTATAGCTAGCACCTTCATAAGATTTGTGATATGGAAGCAGTGAATCGAAGTGATTTTTCTAGTCAAAAGCCTTCATATGATGACATGCATTTAATTTCAGTCCAGTTCTGTTTTACTTGTTTGCTAGCCCTCCACTCTGTTGCTACTGTATTGGCATATTAACCTCAGAGCTCATCCCATCCACGAGAATTTCTGCTGATCTGTTGTATATATGCCTTAACTAGCATACTGAGCATGGTTTACTACCATTTGTTTTAATTTCATATACTCCCTCCGTTCCAAATTATAAGACGTTTTGGCTTTTCTAGATGCATTGCTTTTACTATGTATGTAGATATCATACATCTAAATGCATAGTAAAAGCTATGTATATCGAGAAAAGGCAAGACGTTTTATAATTTAAAATGAGGGAGTACTTGTCTATCAACATTGTAGGCTATTTATATATTGATTCTGACAGATATTGGAAAAGGGGAGTCTTGTAATACTGAAAAAATGCAGGTTCAACGAAAAAAGAAACATAGAACTTTACAAAACTGCGCCATTTCACTAACCGGAGTCTAATAGTCTTGGTGTCTATGCATTTGAGATCTAAGGTTTAGAATGCTTGGAGTCAATTTTAGAATAGAGGAGGATTGAAACTTAACCTTCAGTGTCCAGTGGAAGTGACTGCGATGTGCTATAGCTAGCTGAGATCACTGCCACTCCGGTTTCACGAACTAGCTTCCTTCCCTTTTGGAATACTTCACGACTATGTCTACCATTTTCCGAATAGCAGCTTGCAGTATTTCCATGTATTCATTGTTCCTATTTGGGTTGTTCTTGTAGTGAAACTTTATTGTTCTGTAGTATATTTTGCATTGTTTTAGTAGTGAAAATATATTATGAAAATTTATCATTCCATGGTATATTTTGGATTGTTCTAGCAGTGAGAGCTTATTGTTCAGTATTATATTTGGTTGTTCCAATGCTGAGATTTATTGTTCCATATTTGATTGTTCTAGCTACGGAAAATTATTGTCTCGTTGTATATTTTGAATGCTCCAGTAGCCGAAGATTTTTTTTAAAACTCAGTAGCCGAAGTTTTGGGTTCCCTCGTATTATTGGCACAAATCCCATATGCTTTTGAAACATTTTCCATTTATAAACTAGATCTTGTTTCTCGTGAAGCTGGGAGCAGTAATATTTTTACATCGTGCAACTTGTGCATATGGGCCGGCGGTTGGGTTTGCCGTTTGCGTGGCCAGATTGATAAAAGGAAAAAGTCCATTTGACCCATCGACTATTGTCCTAGTCTGATTATTTTCTCATCGCAAAACGTCTGATTTCCCTCCAAAGGCAAAATCAGCTATTGTACACCCGAATGCAGCACAAGATCCCCCTGTTTGGATCTATAGATGGTGTATGGAAAATGGATCTTAGGTCCATTTATTTTAGGTTTTGGTGTTTGATGATCAACATAATTAAATTGGACTAATGAATTTGCAGGTGTTTGTTTTGTAGTTTAATATGGTGCAAGACGTGACTTGGACAAAGACGACATGATGATCCGATGATCAATACCTTAAGCAAGACCCTAGGAGCATAAGAGAAGACCCAAGATATCAAGCATAGTCTAAGCACGAAGATGGGAAGCAAGCCGGACGTAGGATCGCGAAGAAACGAGCTCGGCAGAGATGACCGGACGCGGCCCTTATAGCGACTGGACGCGTCCGATCGGTAGACCGAGACTGCGGCAAGTGTCAGCAGGCGACCAGACGCTGAAGAAAACACGTGACCGGACGCACCGATGGCATTGTTCATTATCACGGCAATGTTTTTAGCGTGACCGGACGCAGTGGCACTAGACGACCGGACGTAGGAACTGCAGCGTCCGATCAAGTCAAAAGAGGTTCCAGAGCGGCGCCAGCGTGACCGGACACGTCCGATCAACAGTGACCGGACTCAGCGCAGAGTCCGATCAACGCGCACGCTCCAACAGTCGTGACGACCGGACGCGTCCGGTCAGGACGAAAGCAGCGTTCGGTCAGTAGCAGAAAGCTGGGTTTCGCCCCCAACGGCTACTTTCTCAGTGGGGGTTATAAATAGACTCCCCAACCAGCCATTTGAGATGACGAGAGCTGAGGAAACATATCAAGGGTGTTGATACATCATTTTAGTGATCTCCATTTGCATAGTGCTTAGTGATTCATTAGGTGATTAGCGTAGGTGCTTTGCGAAGTGCTTAGGTTGATTAGACCACCGCTTATGCGCTTGCTCTAGGTTTAGGCCTAGTGTTTAGTGAGGTTTGCACACCTCTTATCACTCGGTGCTTGCGCGCAGCATTGTTGTACATCGGAGGGGCTTGTAGTCTTGTGATATCACATCAACCGCGTTTGTGGTGTGGCCTCCACCGTGTACCGAAGGGAACAAGGCCCGCGGTAGTTCAGCTGGAAGATTGATAGTGAAGACGGCGGGGAGCGGTCTGGGAGAGGCTTGCGGGAAGGCACACCGGAGACCCACTTGCGCGTGGGGAAAGCCTAGGGCTATCCATGGAGTTACTCGACCGGGAGCTTGGCCCTTACGAGGGATTCCATACGAGGGGTTTCAACGAGGACTAGGAGAAGCTTGTGCGCTTCTCGATACCTCGGTAAAAATACCGGAGTCATCGACGGAAGTTTGTATATCTCTACCTTACTCTTTAACTTCCGCATTTACATTGTTTATATAACTCCTTTTGCGGTAAAGATGGCAACACACTAACAAAATCATAGTTGCACATTTAGATGGTTTATCCTTTGCATAGGTTTTGCTAAGAATAGAAAAAGATGTCATAGTTTTGAGATAGAGTTTTTAAGTTGCCTAATTCAACCCCCCTTAGGCGTCACGGTACCTTACAAGCAGTATCAGAGCTAGGTTAGCTCAATTTAGACCTTTGGCTTCACCGCCGTTGAGCCGACGCTATTTAGAGTGGTTGGGATGGATACCTCTAGGCCTCCACACTTTTACGGCACTAACTTTCCCTACTATAAAGCTAGAATGGCTTGTCACCTTGAGGCGGTAGATTTGGGCGTTTGGAGAGTCACTCGTGACGGGATGAAACTCATTAAGAATCCCGATAAACCCACAAAGAGTGAAGAAAAAGAAATTTATTTTAATGCTAGAGCTAAAAATTACTTGTTTAAATCTTTTAGCATAGATGTGTTTAACCAAGTGTTCACTTTAAATACGACACATGAAATTTGGTTAAAACTCCAAGAGCTCCATGATGGCACAACTAATATCCGTGAGCAAAAATATTGTCTAGATAAATAAAATTATAATTTCTTTAAAATGAATGATGATAATCTTATTCGTGATATGTATTGTCACTTGAATCTAATTATCAATGAGCTCCATTCAATAGGATTAACGAAGTTAGATGATGCGGACATCGTGAGGAAGATCATCTTCGTGCTACCACAAAAGAAATATGCAAGCATCATCACCATCCTTCACAACATGGAGGAGTTGAGCACCATGACCCCGGCCATAGTCATTGACAAGATAGTGACATTTGAAATGTCACGGAAGATGGGTCAAGAAGAAGCCTCGTCATCAAGCAAAGGTAAAGCTCTCGCATATAGTGAGAAAAAGAAGATGAAGGGCAAGAAAGTTGAGACAAGCTCTGTAACACCTCTAGTGTTACGAGCTTGCTTAGCACCAAGATTTAGACCTAAGAGGATTTACCGAACGATTTTCTCAGATTTTAAAATTTAACTTATGTTTAAAAGTGTCATTTTTTTTGAATTATATTGAACAACGGGTTAATTAGTTCCTAGATGTTTTGTTTCTACGAGTCAGTATGACGTATGGACTAGTGTATGAAATACGTAGTGGTTGGAATTAATTAGGTTTAGGCATATTAAAAATTTTGGCAAAGGTGCTAAAGGTTGTTGGTTCTAGCTAAGTTATTATTCTCTCTAAGTCGAAAAAGAATTGTAGACAATGCCATTTTGGCATTTAAATTCCAACAAAACTGGTTAGGCAATATATCTATGTTTTTGCACGACTGGTTGCGTCGAGATTGTGTACTTGAACACGGTGTAGGTTGTGGTTGGTCTAGAAGTCACGATGCTCTCGTAAAATTTCCCAATTACGCTTTTAACATGTTAACCATGATAGTGGCGCTCTGTCCGTGAACCGGCGTTCTGCGCGACCAGTCTATCTTGGCGCCTCTCTTTCCTTCTCGCTAGTCATCTTCTGGTCGTATGGGGTGCTTCGTTGGGGAGATGGTAGTGTCAACTCTAGGGTAGTGCATGTTGGTTGGAACTTGGCGAGCTAATCCGTGGTTTTTGCGTCTCTTTTAAATTCGTGCGCATCACTACTCACCGTCGTACGGCTCGGCCTGTGGTTGCCGCGTGCACTGCCTACTAGCCGTCTGCCCGACGTGGTGCTCCGCCCACCGCACGACCCACCTAACCACGGAGGAGCTGGCTGCCTTCGCTGTCCCGTCATGCTGCGGTCGTTGAT